GCACATGCTCCCAGAGTCGCGTGACTTTCGCTGTCGTAACAATATATATATATAACCACCAAACATTAAAATAAACAGCCCTGTCCCCTAGTGGCTCAGTGGTAAGTCTGAAGACATATAACACTGAAAATCAGGTCTTGATACCTACTATGGGCAGAGCACAGATTGCCCATTGTTTAGTTTTGCACTTAAGAACAAACAAACACCGGTTTTAGAAGGACAAGTAAAAGATAGACATGAGAGCCTGGGATGAGAGAGAACCTCCATCCATGATAACAAAATTAAAATTTTAACACCCAAATATGTTTATAGATAAAAGTTATTGACATCTATTTAGTGCCCTCCATAATTATTGTGAACCACTAATAAAAATATATGTAAAAGTATTTTAAGCTGGAGTAGGTATTCATAACATGGCAGAACAAAAATATGTCACTGCAGTATTAAAACATGCTGAACAAAAATTATGTAATCTATTACTTCATTAAATACTTTATGACTAACTATACTTAAGCCTTTTCAGTTTTCTCACCAAAGATTCACTTTTAAATAAATGAATTTGCAACTAAAAACTATTTGAGACTAAACTAATTATAAAAGTTTCAGTTTAATTCTTTCTTTACTATGGTTCCCTCAAATTAAGAGTCAAGCGTCCTAATCATCTGGCCATGCCGGGTATAAATGGTTAAGGATGTAGTGTACAACAACAGTGAATAGTTAAGAGCCACTGCCGATGTCAAACTCAAAGCTATCTAGCAATTCTTAACGTTAGTGATACATACACTACCGATGAGTACGTGCTTGTTTTTCATAGATGATTTCAGCAGATGTGTAGAAGTTGAACGTGACAAGGAGTCTACTATGGCGAGAGTAGGTAAAATCATTAAATAACGCCCGTTTATGGCTCCATGTTTTCTTCTTGATTCACTTCTTAATGTTGGTATACATAACATGACATTATCACCCACTTACGTGGTATATTCCACTATATAAAATAACCATAATTTGGGTGTGTGTGCGTACTGTAAATATAAACAAAATTTATTAATTATGCTTTTTTTTGTAGGTAAGCACGAAGCTACACAATGGGCTATCTGTGTTCTGTCCACTAAAGGTATCGAACCCTCAAACTTACAGGGTAGGTGTTAATTATACATTATATAACCCCAAAATAATCAATAAAACATGTAGACTGGAGATACAGAAGTCCTGTCGTTTTACAGAGGGTTGAATACGTTATATTAAAAAAAATTTGAATATGCAAATAAGCAATTCACGTGACAATTCACAGCTGATATAAAGTCGTGTTTGAACGGCATGTACCAGAACTACATTTTGACATTATTTGGTATTTTTTAGGTAGTATGATGTTAGCGAAAACTGATCACTTTAAGAAAAGTATATAGCAGTCTTTTCCAACGCAAAATATTCAAACGCTCAGATCATAAACATGTGTTTAGATCGGATATTTAGAATTTTCAAGACGGGAATATCCCTTGGAATTGTAAAACAAAGAAATAAGAGACCTGTAACAAGTCGTACCCCCCGCCGTGGTAAGCAAAATGTGGCATATTGAAACACATGAAAATCCACAAACACAGAAGTCAGTAGCAAAAACCATCTACCAGCAAAATAAAGAAGGATTTCTATATGTGAAAATGAAATAAGTTTCTTCCATAATGTATCCATTCAATCTTTCCATACGTCAAGCAGCAGAAGAAAGAAACGGATATTTAAGCCATTCTATATGAAGACATACTGGTCAAGTTGCCGAACGCAGTACCTATACATTTTTATACAATCGGACTTCTGAAGCGGTCGCTGGGAAACTGCCGTCCTCGTACACATGGAGGAGTGGTGTGCTTTGGACATGACAATCTTACGATGGAGCCATTTGGAAATGAAACTACGCTGCGGTGCTATTGTCAGTACGTAAAGTCGTCAGAGCAGAACTGGACGTGAAGACATGAACTTTATCGATGTGGGAATTTCCAAAATCGCTTTAATACAGCGTAATCAACCTCTTATAATATCAAATAATGTTGATGTTGATGAAATAAGCTTCGGTGTTTTGATCGACTTCTAGCTCTAACTATGTTGAATCGTAGTATGTGTCATAGTATACTAAGTTTATTCTGATGGATAATGTTTACACTAACCAAAAACTTTATTATATCAAAAGCCCCTACCAAAGGCTGGCATACTATGAGCTTAAACTCTTCCAAACAAACTTTCATTACAGGAGCAAAAAGCGTTTTTTATCGTTATTATATCGGTGTTATACACTGCTAGGATTAAACAATAAAAACAAACAAACAATATCACACAAGATAAAATTAAACAAGATGAAAGTGTCTCTTAATCATAATATAATCTTAAGTATTCATACCTACTTAACTGTCTCTGAAAAATAGGAGCATTTTAAATATCATACCTAGTTAACTGTCTCTGAAAGATGGAAGCATTTTAAATATCATACCTACTTAACTGTCTCTGAAAAATAGGAGTATTTTAAATATCATACCTAGTTAACTGTCTCTGATTTTAAATATCATACCTACTTAACTGTCTCTGAAAAATAGGAGTATTTTAAATATCATACCGACTTAACTGTCTGTGAAAGATGAGAGCATTTTAAATATCATACCTAGTTAACTGTCTGTGAATCATAGGAGTATTTTAAGTATTATACTTACCGAACTGTTTCTGAGTCATAGGAGCATCTTAAGTATCATACCTATCTAAGTATTTCTGACTTATAAGATCATCTTACGTATAATACCTACTTAAGAATCTCTGAATCATAGGAGTATCATAAGTATCATATATGCCCGTCTTTCAATCATAAGGTCATCTTAAGTATCATATCTACATAAGTGTTTCTGAATCATAGAATCATCTTAAGTATCATATCTATATAAGTGTCTTTTAATCAAAAGAGCATTTTAGCTATCACACCTACCTAAATGTCTCTGAATAACAGCAGCATTTGAAGTATCATATTCACCTGTTTCTGAGTCCTAGGAGCATCTTCACTCTCACACCTACCTAGGCATCTTTGAATCATAGGAGTATCATATCTACTTGTCTCTGAATCCTATGAGCAACCTAAGTATCATACTTACCTTAAACAGGAAATGTCGAGGAGTTCTCTGTCCTAACCACAGAGAAACGTTTCTTCCAGTGAAATTATGTTCTATTTCTTTAAGTACTCGAGTATAGATTTTGCTGCAGTCCACGTAAATTTCTATGTTGTTTCCACTGACAGTAAGGGCTAACTGATGCCAGGTGTTGTCTGCCAAGCGATAAGGGAATGTTTCCACATACAGCATATCTTTGCAGGTGTAATGAAACCGAACTTCGTCCTTTCTTCCGCTTGTTTGCACTTCGAGAAACCTACCAGGATCATCAATAGAAATGTAAAGTATGCTCGAGCATAGCAATCACCAAAATATATGGTCTGTTAATGTCAAACATAACACATAAAGATCGACGTGACTAAATAATGTGTAAAATGTATTATGTATTAATAATGAAAATTAATAACAATATTACTACTTGTTTTACATTCGAAGTTTTCAACTTTGTGTACTAATAATATAAGGTGCATTTTGGTCTTACTAAGCTTAAACTGGGTTTTTAAATTAAGAATAGCTCTAATAATGATACTATGCTATTTGAGGGCAATAGGCTTGGCTTATCCTATTTATAATTGAATAATTCGAGCAAGCTGAACCTGTGGTAGGATTCTGGTTTACGAAGCTGGGGAACCGGATTCAAATTCATGCGATACCACAAAATACTCCTCCCATTTTAAACTATGGGTGCGTTATAAAAGTAACAGTAAATCCCTCAACTTGGATAATGGGTGGCAAAGTGCTGCTGACTGGCTGCCTTCCCTCTTCCCAGTAGTTCATAATTAGAGACAGCGGCAGATAAGTTTTAGCACTAGTAGCTTTGCCATAAATAGAAAATACAAAAACAATTATAATT